TCTGCAGATGTGATGTTTGAAGTGCATGTAGCAGAGTGTCTGAGTATGCTCCGAAGAGAAGAGGAATAAAAAGTCAACAAAAGCAAGACAGAATATATGTGTGAATGAGAAGGAGACATACAGGGTGCAGTAATTCACCTGTATGATTTTAGGGTCTTAAAATATAAAGCACCTTGGGGCAGTTGTTAAATATTTAAATATATATATAAATACAATTGAATTCAATTTAAATTGAGATCAATTAATCTATGAGTAGCCGATGTTTAAATCCAGTGTTGTAAAAATAACTACCCGTCCCAGAGCTTGTCAAACCAGGTCAGCCATCAAAACAATGTCAGCCTTGTTGGCTGACATTGTTCTCTAGCTCACAATGTTTCCTTGTCACAGCTGATCCTTGTGCAGCTGTCTGCTCCTCGCTGCCCCTGAACCCACTGCACCACCCCTCCCTTGCTGCTGAGCCACAGATCACACCCTGGAACAATGCTGTACACACACAGAAGTATCTGGGTCAGGCAGTATCAGAGTTATGAGAAAGAAAACTATAACATTTTATTCTTGCCAGAAACCCAATGTGCAGTAAGGTTTGACTGTGTTTCAGCCACAAAACTCTGGTTTCTCCTTAGAGGGCTAATCCACTGATTCCCACAGAGTGAGTTTTAAGCTCGCCAGCTGATCCCAGAGTTTGCTGCTGAACCATAAGCTGAGTAAACATATCTGTTCCCAAGTTCCAGATAAGATTTTATTTTCCACACAGCTCCGGTGTTGGCTACTCAACAACTGCTGAACAGACAAACAGGTTTTCTGTTAACTCAGTTTGTTTTCTGAGGAGCAGCTTGTGACATATACAGAACCACTTCATAAATAAATATTACTTTAAGAATGATAACTATAATCTGTTTGTTTTCTTCCAGAGCCTGGACCATGGGGAGCTCCTTTACAATACATAATAAGACTCCCTATGCCTTTCACTACTCTAGTGTGGGTAGAGGGGTAAGTTAGAAAACAGTATATAAAATGATTTAACCATTGTGATGTTATGCGTCTCTATATGCCCACCCTTCTCTGTTTACAGGGTGTTCGTACAGTGCACGGCCATAGCACAGGAAAGTACTTACATCCAATACCTCCATTCAATTCTGAGGGCCTCCGTTTTAGATATGGAGATCACTCAGAGTGGGACCTCAGGTGTGCAGGTCACAGTGCTCCGTACACCTTAAGAGAAAGCGATGACGGTGGAAAAATTGAACTGGTCAATGGAAGACTGAATGTCATTGCTGACTGCTGTGCAAACTTTGGTATGTATGAGTAATAAGTGCCTGGTTGTGTGTTTGCACATGTTGGAGAGACTCATTTGAAATTTAAGAGGAAAGGCTGAAGATTTGTTAATACGACTATTTAGGTTTTATCACCTAAACCTAACCAATCATTTTGCCTAAACGAATGTCTGAACAGTTTTTACATGAATATAATAATAATATAACGTTAAGCACCAAAACTTGACACAAGAATCAGATAATTCCCTAAAAAATGAACAAATGAAATTACAAGTTTACAGCGCTGGACCTTTGCGTGATATAATAGTCTGCCTGACATTTCCCCATGGGGATCAATAAAGTATACATTATTATTATTATCAAAGACAACCTTGAAGCTGGCCTTACTGGCTTGTATAGTGAGACAATAACAAAGATTGTTATGGCTGTCTTCTCCCAACACAAACGTGGCAGTTTGCTCCGAATCCTCCTTGTTCAAGCCACGTCCGCTTACTTCCTCGACCTCCTATCTGCTCTTTTTCCTGGACTCAGAGAGACAAAAACACCCTGCACAGCCTTGATTATCTAATGTTTTTATTCATTGTTCTTCTGCTTATTTTAGGTCTGGTTCAGGATATCTTGTTCGGACTCTCTGACACAGAGACCTATTATAAACGCTGTCAGTGTGTGTAGGCGTGTTGCAAAATACCCCTCTGCGCTCAACGTCCACTCTTCAATATTTCAGATCCAGACAATAATGCTGAATGAAGCTCTTTACTCTCAAAACATGGAGTGCCAACTTATTTATGAGCACAACTGCATTGTGTATAAATAACATGATTAAAACAGCTTTATTTAATAGAAAAAAAGAAAAATGTTCAACCCTAACAGTCCCTCCTTATACATGTATTTTACATGTGAACAAAAGAGCATGTGTCTCGTTCAGCCTGCCATCCTACAGGTTACCTTCTAGTGTGATACTTATTTTGTGTTATATAAATAAAACTGAATTGAATTCAACTGAATAGAACACAGCAGAGTGCAGCTCGTGGTAGAGACCAGTTTACAAGTTCAAATAAATCTTTATTGTTTTACTAATTTAAAGCAAACTTCGTTAACTATAAGAGTCATTCATTTCCCTGCAGGAAGAATTGATGACCAGAAACAAGAGTATGAGAGATGCCAACAACAGAAGAAACGCAGGAAAATAGAAGATGAGACGAGGCGGCAGGCAGCGCTGGACCGGAAGAGGACAATCCAAGAGCAGATTGAAAAGGAGAATAAAAAACTGAGGGAACTGCTTTCTGAAGCACACGACAGGCTTCAGCTGGAGCTAAACCTCAAAGCCCAGGAGCATTACCACCAGCAGCACTCTCAAGTCCTGCATGAGCTTGTGGCGGAGGAGCACGGAATAGCAAGGGATGAGGTAGGGTTGTAAGCTAACATCTTAATCTTTTTGGAAATGGAAATGTAACCCATGTAAATGCATTTGAAACAAGGGTGAGTTAGGTGGGGCGTGCAGGTATTTGAAGTTTTTGATTTTAAACCAATGATCGTCAGGACCAGGTCAGGTGATTGCGAAAATGGCCCATGGTTAAAATGGCTTTATTGTAACCACTGGGTATAGGTATAGCTTGCCATGTGTCACGGCTGGCGGAGTGAGCCGTGTGGAGTGGAGGAAAAGGAGGACCCAAAATGCAGCAAACTGACGATATGAGTGAAGTTTATTT